GTACAGCTTTGCCTGGGGGTGAGGTAACCTCACATATGGGTCAAGGCCTGGCTCCCCTGTCACATTCCCAGTGAAGCACTCTGTGACCAGGCACAGTTTGCTCCTGGAGAAATAGGAACTTGTGGCAGAGGATTTTTTCTGGGTTTGTTAGGTTCTGCTGATTGGTTTGGAGAATAAGAAGTTCAAACAGCATTTTGTAGCAAAGAGTCTTTATTATAAATATTGGTTCCGCAGGCACGTCGTGGCAGGGCAGTGGCAGCAGGAGGAGCTCAGGAGCTGGCAGGGCCATGGCACGGTGACACCTGGTCCTGGTGGCTCCTCCTGCAGGGACCCCACGGCCGCAGCACCCGCTGGAGAAGAGCTGGCAGCACTGATGGCTCCCTCGAGAGACGGGAAGGCTGAAGGGGATGGGCAGGTCAGATGGTGGATGGGTCTGATGTTTTGTTTTGAAGCCGTTTTATGATTTTTTTCACCCAGTCCTTCTTGGGGTCAGCACAGATCTCATCACCATTGGCAGCCACAAGCCTGCAATGAGGAAGTGAGGAAAAAGAGTGAAAACAGGAACCCTGAGCCATTCCCTTTCTGTGCACTATTTCTCCTCTCCCTTTTTGCAGTCCCTTCCAGGATCAAGGCTTGGAGCCGTCTCCAGCAGCCTGTGCCCTCCTTGGGCTGGTGAGTGTCTGAGTCTTCCCAGAGCTCTAGCATTACCAGACAGCACTAAAACCCATTTTTTCCCCTCTTTGTCCACCCCTCAGAGCTGCTTTCCTACCACAGCCCCCCTGGCTGGGACTGGGATGAGATGGGATGGGATGGGATGGGATGGGATGGGATGGGATGGGATGGGATGGGGCAGCAAAAGATCTGGGATCCCAGATCTGGGATGGGGAGCAAAGCCTGGGATACTCACACAACTGCAGGCTTGGGGCAGTCCTTGGATGTCTCGTAGAAGCCCTGAGGGTGTCGCATGCGTTTCTGTGCATATTGAAAGCAGCATTCCACGGGTGCAAAGTGGGCTGGGGAGGGAAGGGGGGTGTTGTGAGTTTTATCTCCAGATAATGGCACCACCAGGATTGGAACTGCACAGAGGCTGTGGAGCCCCTCAGCAGCTCCCATAGCATCCCATGGCAGGGGTTTGTCACCCTTCACACCGCAAGCTCAGGGCTGGGGCATGGACAGAGGTGGGGCAGGGGACAGCCTGGGACCTGGTCCCTCACAGCCCAAATTGCTGCAGCCCCCAGAGCACACAGTTAGGCTGGGGTGCTCAGTCTGGGGATGAGGTTTCGGGGCTTTTGCTTTCCAAGGCAGGAGCACAACTTGCAGGGTGTTTTGGAAGGCTCCAAAGAGCTGCATGTTCTCCCTCCATCCAACCCCTTGCTCATCCAGAGGAAGCTGCCAGAGCCTCCTCCAAGCTCCTGCAGCCTCTCCCCAGGTCTGGCTTTGCTGAGAGCACCCAGCACCTTCTCCATCCCTCCCTGCATCCCGGGATGTGCTGCCCTGCCCTGAGCAGGGGGTGCTGCTCCCATCAGCAGCACCATCCCTGCTCCTGCTGGGGTTCCTGCCTGACCTCCCCAGTGGGGGCTCAGAGCCCTCACCTGCAGCAGCAGCCCCTGAGGTTCCTTACCTGTGGCGTGGTGCAGGGAGAAGGTGAGCAGCAGGGTGAGCAGCAGGACAGTCCTTGCAGGCAGCATGCTGGCTGTGGGGTGGCTCTTCCTCGTGCCCTGTGCCTCTCTGCCCCCTGGCACTGGCTCTGGCTGTGGCTCTGTCCTTGCTGCCATTTATCCTCTGCTGCCGCCCACTCAGGCTGCATTTCCAAATATTCAGGGTCCTACCAAGAAGCCAGGGTCAAGGGGCTTTCTGCTGTTTATTTTTGGGCACATCGAGCGGAACATGGAAACGTTTGGGGAGTTCAACTTTCGATGGAAGAGGCGTGACGTGGAGCTCTAGGAACTGAAAGCAGATTGAACCTTCTTCCCATGCAGGCAGGACAAGTCCAGAGCTCATCTGCTTGTTTCCAACAGGAGAGGCAGCCCACAGTCCATGAGCAGGGACAGGTCTCAGGGGGTTTGATTGGTTTGCCCAGTGCCAAAGGCCAGTGATGGAATCCCATCCAAACCAACCTTGGGCACACAGGGAGCACTGGGCTGGGCAGGAAAGCACAATGGGATGGACTGGGATGGGATGGGATGGGATGGGATGGGATGGGATGGGATTGCGTGTCAGGCAGAAGAAGCCACACTGGACCAACCCAGAAGGGACTCTGGAGCAAGGAGTGTCAGAGGTGCTTTTGGTGGGCTCAGCAGATTTCACAGAAGGGGAAGAAATGGGGCAGGGGCAGTGGGGAGTGTGAGGAGAGTCTGGGTCTTAACACAAGCCTGAACCCCTGTGCTGCCTGTGCCTCCCACACCAACCCTGGGACTGAAATGAGAGTTGGGGGATGGAGGCTTGTGGTGCACAGAGATCTCCTGCAGGAGAGGGGACAGATACCAGCACAGCCCCAGGAGAGGGGACAGAGCCACCCCAGAGGGCAGGCAGGAGGGGCAGATGGCCCAGATCCCATTGGCAGCCCCATGGAGCACTGCTGGACACCAGCCCAGCTTCCATGCAGGGATCTGCTCCCTGGGCAGGAGATGCAGCTCCGTGTGAGGAGGTGAGGTCCTGGTGGGAGCCACCATAGGATGATGCTGGGTGGGAGCACAGGAGGGGACCTGACTGTGGCTTGGGGGATCAGGCAATCAATCCAAGGCTTCTCAGAGGGGAAGAAAGGTGGAAATGGGTTTCTCTGGAAATTATGTCATGTCTGCACGACTTCTCTGAAAGGAGAAAGGAGAAGGAAACAGATCTAATGTGGTGGAAATGCTGGTTTACAAGAAATGGGCTGCAGGACATGGGGTCTGCTGGCCTTGCATGGGGCAGAGCGGTCACACAGAGAGCTGGGCACAGCCCCACGGGGTTCTGGTGCCACTGTCCCCAGGCAGGGCTCTGCAGGGAGAAAATGCCTGGCGCACAGCAGCCAGAGCCCCTTCTGTGGGCTGTGCATCACCCCCAGGCTCTCCTGCCCTCCCTGCCCATGTCCCCAGTGCTCAAAGCCTTGGGGCCAGCAGCCCCAGGCTCACACCAGCTCCCGGGCACTGGTTAAAAGCACAGGACTGTAATTAAGGGAGAACTGAGCTAATGATTTTTTCCATCCAGCATCCCCTGGCTCAGAAAACCTCATGTGCCAGCCCTGAGCTCCCTTTCCAGGCTTGTCTGAGGCACACAGGTGCTCCTCCTTTCCCTATTTATTCCTCTCCAGAGGAAGCATCAGTAGATGCCTCCACTCTGTCTTTCATGGAGAAAATCGGTGCATGTTGGATGTTTGAAGGCCTGGAAAGGCCCCACAAGGCTCTGGAGGACTGGGCTTCCCTCCCTGCCCCAGCAATGGACCTTTGGGTCTGGCTTCAGTCCTCTGCAGGCTCCTCTGCAGCTCCTGGGCCATTCCCAGCACCCTCTGAGCCATGCCCAGCAGTGGCACAGCCTCTGCCCAGGTGCAAATGCAAAGGCAAGTGGAGAGAAGAGGGGCTACAGACCCTGCAGAGGATTTTATGGGTGTCCAACCTCACTGTAGTTAATAACTGAATACAAATTTTCTGACTGAGCAAAACCCCTGCTTTAGAAATTGAAATGGATAGGCATGGACCAAAAAAAAAAAAAAAAAACCAAAAATCATCATAGAGGTGGGAAATATTCTCTGACTCATAAAATGCCTTTTTGAGTGGATAATCACAAAAGTTAATAGTTGACAGAGAGCATGAACAGTTTGCCGGTGATAAATGCCGGTGTCCCCGCCCAGAGCCCCGGGGTCTGTTCTGCATCCGAGGCCCTGTCAGGAGAGGGCACCAAGCCCAGCAAACAGAGACTCCGTGGCTGAGGATTCCTGCAGTGGAAAGGCAGCAGTTCAAGCAGCTCAAGAGGCTTCCCCAGGCTGGAGCCTCTCCTGGTGCCCCCAGAGTTCTCCACCCCAGGTCCCAGACTTGCAGGGTGTCAGGGTCACCCCTCAGCTCTGCTGTGAGAGCATCCCTGGAGCTGCTGCTGCAGCCAAAATCCCCTTCCCCAGGAGCTGGGAGTGCCTGAGCATCATCTGGGCCAGTGCAAGTGATGGTTTCTTTATCACTTGGTGGAATTTTTTGGGTAGGTTTCTTTTCTTGGTTGGTTCTCCTTTTGTTTTCCCCCGTAGTGAACTGTTACAGGGAAAGGAGGAGGAAGTAGGGGGACATTCACATTTGCAGAATCTGTCTTCCCAGGTCACTGTTACACATGAGGGAGCCCTGCTCTCTCCCCATGGTTGAGCACTTTCCCACCCATGAGAAGGAGAAAATTAATCCCTTATTTTGCTTGGCTTGTGGGCCAGTTCTGCTTCATTTATTAAACTGTCTTTAACTCATGACTTTCCTCACTCCTGCCCTTGCAGTTCTGCTCCCCCTCCCACAGCCCTGGCAGGGATCAGTGCTGAGCTCTGCATGGCCCCTGCCAGGGGGATATTGCAGGAATCCCCCATGTGATTCAGCCTCCCCTGTCTGTCCCTTGTGCCCAGGGAGCTCTGCAGGGAATCCCTTCCTCTGCAGCCCAGCAGAGACACCCCAGGCCTGGGCACACGGGGCAGACAGGCTGTGCCCTCCACAGGACAGCAAATGGGACAGGCTGAAACCCCTCAGCCTGAAACTGGTGGCAGTTTGGCACCCAAAACCCTCAGAGGGGTCTCTGACCCCTTTAGGGTCCCCTTGAAATCCCATCCATCCCCTCCCTTCCTGCCCTGAGACCCAGTGGGAAGAGCCAGCCCCAGCTGCTGGCAGCAGCACAGTTGTGGGACTGGAAGAAGAAAGGACAAATACAAACAAACTCTTCAATATCACATGAAATAAACTTTATTTTGTGGCTGTGAACAGCAGGCAGGTGCAGGCTGGGCCAGCAGCATTCCAGGAGCTGGTGCCCAGCTGTGGGTGCAGCTCAGGGCTCTGGTGCCTTTTCCCAGGATCTGAACATCCTGAACCCCTTCTGAGAGGGGATGCAAATCTTCCTTCCCAGCAGATGTTGGGGAGCCTGAACCAGGGCACCCAATCCACATCACGGAGCACGAACTTTCTTCTTTTGAAGCACTTTAACTGCTCTCTTAACCCACTTCTCCTCAGGGTTTGCACAGACCTTGACTCCTTTCTTGGTCTCAAACCTGCCAAGGTTAAAGGTGAAGCTTTGTGAAGAATGACATCTGTGATTCCACTTGTGCCCACACCATCCTCCCTGCCCTGCACCCTTGCTCCTTTCCCTTTGTCCCTGTGCCTGCCCCTGGGCTCTTGGTGTCCTACAAGCAGCTCACCCTGCAGCCCAGCACCTCCGGAGCCCCTGCAGAGCCCTCAGGAGCTGCAGTGGCCTTGCAGAAGTGCCCAGACAGTCACACCTCCCCTCCTCATGCTGGAACATCACAGAGCTTACACAGACCTGTCCCTGTCCTGTCCCCACATGGAACAGATGAACTGAGCCCGTGGCAGCCTGGGAGGCAGCACAGCAGCAGGGAAGCTGCCAGGACTTACACAATTGCTGGGAAATAACATTCCCTGGTAGTGGAGTTGAAGTCCAGGAGGATGTCCAGCCTCAGGACGCCCTTGACGTAGTCGAAGCAGCACTCAGCTGGGGTGTAGGGGGCTGCAGAAAACAAAGAGCACAGTGAGGCTGGCTCGGGGGCAGCCCTGCCCTCAGCACCTTCCCCAGCACAGGCCTGATGGACACAACATCCCCAGGTTCTGCAAATGCTGCCATGAGGAGCCCCAGGTGCCCTCCCGGGGCAGGAGGATGCTCCAGGTGATCCCCCAGCCCTGCAACAGCTCTGCCAAACCCAGCCCCAGGAGCAGCCTTCATCCCTCCCTGCACCCCAGGAGCTGCTGCTCTGCTCTGGCCAGCACAGCAGTGACCCACCAGGGGCTTTACCTGCATGGGAGCATGGCAAGAGGGTGACGAGCCCAGCCAGCAGCAGGACTGTCCTTGCAGTGAGCATGGTGGCTCTGGGAGGGCTCTTCCTTGCAGGATGCTGCTCTGCCTCCTTGGGAGAGCTCAACTCTGAGCTCAGGCAAGGAGCTGCTGCAATTTATCCTCTCTACTCCTTCCCTTTTCCAAGTTCTCTCTTTTCCATAGACTTCGACCCAATTAAAGGAAAAGCCTGCACCTTCTTTGCCCCTGGGGATTTCCATGTCACATGGGGTCATTGGGATTGCAGACAGACAATACCTGGAAGGCTAAATAGATTGTGTCAGCTTCTGTTTTCACCCACACAGGGAAAGTCATGAGGGAAGTGAAATCCTCCCCTGCAGATGTACACTCAAGAGCTCCTGGGCCTTCAGAGAGGGGATTCATAGCCATGGGAAATGCAAAGCTTGGTGTTCCATGCAAGGTCACTCAGCCCAGAGCCAACACAAATGTGCTGGAGATGCCTGGATGGCTTGTGAATCCTGGAAAGCATTAAACAGAGCACAGTGACTGCTGCCACCAGCCCTCTGTGGCCTGAAAGGGACGAGTTGGCAAATACTGGCAGAAATTGTGTCACATTCCATGTTGGTACTATGGAGAAGAACCCAAGTTTTCCACCAAAAATCACTGTTTATAAGAGAAGGGGGTGTAGCTAAGCCTTTCCTTGTGGACAGGGCTGGCTTAGCCCCAGCTTCAGGGCAGGGCAGGAGTCAGCAACCAGGCTGAGGGGAATGGATGGAACACTTACTGTTCAAAGGTTCTGAGTGTGTTTCCATCATCTTCCTCCCTCCACAGCCTTGAGGCATCCCAGACTCTGCAGGGAGCTGTGAAAGGGGCCAGCCCCTCTGTGTTAACCTGGGGACAGCTCTCCCCCCTTGTGCTGGGCTCCCCTTTCTTCAGAGCTTCTGAAGGTCCAAGGAGCTCCTCTGCAGGTCCTTGCCAGTCATGCTCAGCTCATGCTCAGCTTTTTTCACCTTTCCCTCTGTTTACCCAGACTCCAGGTGAGTGCAGGGAGGAGGGGGATCCCATGCAGATCCCCTGGCACCACAGTCCTCCCTCACTCCCTGAGAACTACCCAAGGGGCCACCTCAAGCCCTTCTTCACACTGACACCCCCAGCCACTCTCTGGAGCAGGACATTGTGCCTGGGACTGTCATGCCTGGATGCATTTTGAAATATTTGGGGGAAAAACCACCCAGTGCTGAGAACAGCTCTGGCCATGCTCAGCTTCATCAGACACATTTCCTGCCAATGGAGGCTCAAGATCCACAGCTCTGCATGGACCTTCAGGAGCTCCTGCAGAGCTGTGTTTCTTCTTCTGGCCAAAGACCTGGTCTAGGATGCTGTGCTTCCCTTTTCTCAGGATTTGAAGCCATGTCTGTGGAAATCAGATGATTCACAACTCCCTGGAGAACTTTTGATGTTTCTTCTTTTCACTTTGGAAAGGGAAAGGCTGATGTGTAGGCATTCCTTGTTAAGTGTTGGAAAGGCCTCTGCCAGCCCAAGTTTTTCTTTCACTTAAACAGACTCTGAGGAATGTGCTTGTTTACAAAAAAAATAAACAGAAGATTGTTTTTCTGCAGGAGGAGGGAGGCTGAGGGGACACATCAGATGCAGCCTTTGCTAGTGAGGGGACAGAGGAGTTGGGCAGAGCAGCCCCAAGCTGGGTTTGGGGTCTCAGTGGGTGGTTGAAAACAACCACAGACATCCTGCACTTGAGGAGGCCCTGCAAGAGCAGCTGGGCAAGGCAGGAGCAAGGGGCATCACCCAGGGCCTGAACCTTGTCCCCAAGGAGGCAGTGGGAGGCTTTGGAATAAGTTTTTCCTGCTTTCTTCTGTTCTTCTCAGTCACTTTGGATTTTCCCATTTACAAGATGAGACATCCTTGTCTGGCTTCTTTAATCCCTTTCTGTCTGCAAAGCTCCTTCCCATTCCTTTGGGGTGCTCCCTCCAGGCTCTGCATGGGGAAGCCCTGATAGACTCAGGACACAATCACAAACCAAATTCTCTGCTTCCTTTCCAAAATCCCTGTGGTTCCAGGAACAGCCCTGGCAACTCCTACAGCCTGGAAAGACACTCTAAAATAAGAAAAATAACAATCTCTTCCAAAGTCTGCTTCCTACAGTCAGACACTGGGGAGCACCAAGTGCTGTGAGTTGTTGATCTGAAATCTTCCTGTGCAGGAAGCTCTGCCTGGAGTCAAGAGACAGAGCTTCAGAAAAGCTCTGTGCCCTCCAGGAGCCCTTCCCCAGGCTCTGCCTGCACTAACTCACTGGGCAAGCTCCTCCACAGGCACAGGGACAGAGCAGAAATTCACTGTGGGCATGCAGGAAATCCTCACAAACACAGCCAGGAACAGGCAGGGGTCAATGCACCTGCAGCAGAAACTGGAAGTGGCCTTATCTGGCTAAGGAAGATGAGATAATAGATCTGATGTCAGCTTCCCCAAATGCACTAAAATTGAGATATTTTTCCATTTCTATCCAATGAGGTCAATCAACTACCTCAGGGTTAAGTGAAGAGTGTGAGGGAGACTCTGCACTGGAGAGGCTTCTGTATGGAGTAGCAATCAGGGGAAATGAAGCTTAATGAGAACTTCAGCTCCTTTCAAAGCTCCTAGAGTTTAGGCAAGCAGCACACAGATGCTTCAGCTCAGCTTTTAAAGCAAAGCTGAGATAACAGAATAAAATAGGGCATGGAAGCAATTCCAGTCAAATTTTTAGTGATTTAATTCTGAACAGAGTTAGCCCTGATAATTTCAAGATGGCACTAGAATAAGTTATGAATTTATCTGCTCCTTAGTGTTTGATTAGAATAAAACACCAGCAATCAGAAAAATAAATGCAGTTAATGAATGTGATGAACAAGACATGTTAAGGGACCTAGATGTTGTAATGAAAATGTGTTTATGTGGGGTTACGGTCAGAGTCAGCAAGGTGACATCTCATCCCTCCTTGGAGGGTGACCTCACTTATATCTGCCTTCTTTTTTAAATGATTTGGTTTGTGGCAGAATTCCAGGGTGAATTCTGAAGGCTCAAGAAATGAACCTTCCTCCATCACCTGTGACAGTCACCAAAGAGGTCCCAACAACCTCTGTGATACCCAGGGGGACTCCAGCAACAAGAGCAGCCCTTGCAGGGACACAGCAGGGACACAATTCTCATAAAAAGGGGGATCAAGCAAACACAAAGCCCAGCAGGGCCGTGGCTGTTCACCCTGTTTGTCCTGCCTTGCTGAGCCAGCAGGGTGAAGGTGCTGGTGGCTCCAGGGGCCGCACGAGAGCTCTTGTGCAACATTTCACAGGAAAGAAACCACGCTGAGGCCTGTGATCAGTCCCAGCCCAAAGCACTGAGGATGGAGGCAGCACCTCCTCTTCTTCACCTCACACTGCCCTGGGAACAGTCAGAGCTTGCAGGAGACAATGACAGAGATGTGTCCCTGGCAGGTGCAGCTGCAGGGAGCACAGGGAGGGACAAGCCAGCAGCCAAGGGTGGCCCCAGCACAGGCAGGTGACAGCCCCCAGGGTCTGAGCACAGGGCCCAGAGCCTCCAGCAGTGCCCCAGGCACACCAAGGTCAGGAACCAAACCCAGAATCCATTTGGGAAAGTTGGGGGAATCTTCTCAGCAGTAACAGGAGATGGGGACAGGGACAGAGCTCCATCCAGCCAAGGTACCCCCAGCAGAGCCCCAAGGGCTGTGCAAGGGGCTGATCAGAGCCAGGACATCAGAGCAACACTCACAGCACAGCAGAGCTCAAACCTGAGTTAGATGGGACTCCTGAGGCTTGGGCAGAGGATTGGGAGGTGTTGTGGGGGTGAACCCACCCACAGATGAGGCTGGTCAGGATGACGATGGCCAATTAGTGCCCTCAAGGCCTGACCTGTGATGGATCCTGTGGGGACAGTCAGCCTGCGAGGAGCCCCAGGGACGACTTCTCACAAGGTCAATCTAAACAGATGCTATGACATGGTGGAGATGCTGTGGAGCTGGAAATGAAACACGAGGGTTAGTAAGGGCTGAGAGAGCCCTTCATGAGCATGGACCCCCCATCTCCTGGGGGCTGTGGGGAAGCATCAAGGCAGGACATGCACCTCTCATCCCCCTGAGCAGAGCAGACGTGGCATTGGTTATCCCCTGGAGCAACCTCCACCCCTGAGGCCCCCATGGAGCTCCAGGGGAAGGGACACCTTGGCACAAGGCCCTTCCCTGCACAGCCACACACCAACACCAGCAAAGCCAGGGAGTGTGTGCTCAGGGGCAGCCAAAATCTCCAGAGGAGCAGCCCCAAGAGCCCTGCTGGGGCCAGCTCTGCCTGGGGGAAATGACTGGAAATGATTCATCCCGTCAGGCTTGCCTGGATTGCATCGCCCCCTTCCTTCCTCTTGCTCTCTCCACAGGAGAGGAGAAATGAAATTAAAAAAACAAAAGTGCTTTCATTTTTTAGAGTTCCATTATCCCCAAGTGACCTTCCTGGCCTGGTGACTCAGCTGCAGGAAACTTTCATTGACTTCTGTGTCTACCTGGAAGGGCACGGGGCTGAGAGATGGTTGGGATGAGAGTTCCTGAAATGTAGGGAAGGTGCTCATCCCTCTTGCTCCTGCCAGCTCCCCACTCCAGGCAAACCCTGAGAACTGACTCTTTAATTGAGCTGCTCCTCCCAGCTCTCCAGCACCAGAGCAGCACACAAGGGCAGCCCAAGCCCTGGCTGGGGTGGGAGAGCTCCTGTCTCAGCCCTTGCCCTCTTGCCTCCTTACAGAACAATGTTTGCTGTCTCTGAGCTACTGTTGGACCTTAGCTTTGCTTAAACAATGCCAAAGTCCAGTTTTCTTTATTGCCTTTTATAAGATGGGAGACACAAATCCCTGTGAGTAAATATATTTCCTGCAAACATCTGCAAGATCAAACCCTAAAGCAGATGGAGCAATAGCCTGGCCACATCCAGCTGTGCCAGCTGTGCCATCTCTTGGTGATGCAGGAATGCTTTCCACAGTGCTCAGTCACAGGTGTTCATCTCTGCAGGGACCAGGCTTGGAAACCCAGCCCAAGGCTCAATCCCCTGAGGGCGAAAGTTTTTAACATAAGGACTTTATTACTTTTATTTCTATAAAAATGTACAGCTCATATCTCATGCACACACTCAATATACAAACAAACTGCAGCTTGTAACAGTCACTGTGCTCCACAGCAAGTGGTATTTAACCCCCAGAAATGGGTGACACCCACAGGCTCCATCCTCCCTCCCTCCCTCCCTCCCAGACTGCAGAGAGGAGCAGCAGTGTCCCCCTGTCCCCTGTGAGGGTGCCAGCAGTGTCCCCCTGTCCCCTGTGAGGGTGCCAGCACTCTGCCTGCAGGCAGCCAAGGGACAGGAGAGGGGCAGGGAGTGCACAAGGACAGGGCCAGCCATGAGGAGCATCTCCTCCTGATGAGTTCCAGGGGGATCACAGCAGCTGGGAGCTGGTGGTGGAGCTGGGAGCAGGGTCCTGCCAAGGACTGGGGACTCCAAGTGGTCTCCTGGTGCACATCCATCCCCCAGCCCTTCCCCTGCAGCACACAAGTGTCCACCCTGCTTGCTGGAGGGCCTGGGCACTGATCCAGCCCCCAGGGACTTGCACAAACCATCTCAGACCAGCAACAGAACAGACAAGGCACAGTGTTTCCCAGGGCTGCCACAAAGGTCTCGACTCCAAGCAGCTCAGACAGGACATTACATACATCCAAAAAGCTATAAAACCCTTTTTACAAAAATAACATTTCTAGTGTTTCATATAAAAATAATGCCACAGTACATCACTTCACGTGTTCCAGCTGTGCACAGGTGGGTGCAGGGGGAGGTGGCACTGGCAGGGCCTGATTTACCCTCCAGGAAAATCAACCCCAACCCGATTTCCACAGCTGAGCTGCTGCACAAGGAAGGGTTTCACACCAAATTAATCATTGTAATAGATCTGATTGCATCCTGTGCTTGCAAAGGAGAGGAATCCCTCAAAATGCAGAACAAAGTGCAGAAGTGAGGGATGTGTGATGGCAGAGAGCAAGCACAGCTGTGGTGTGTCCTCTCCCCCTGCAGGGCTGGAGGGATGTCCTGAAGGTGCAATCTGACAGATGTAACAGGCCTCATTCCTCAAGCTCTGCTTTACAGCTGGCCCATCATTTTTTTATCATCTTGCTTATCATTTTCTTGCTTTTTTCTTGCTGATCTTGCTTTTACTTTCTGCATGCATATTTGTAGTTAGGGATCTGATCCCCTGAGGCTGGTTGGGATCTGACCCTTGATATGTATCTACTTACAAAGCATCACGTCATGAAGGCCTTTGCACACTCCAGCAGAATTATCCTGGAGTCAAAGTTTAATAAGGGCTTTCAAGACTTTACCACAGATAAAACATAAGACTTATGTACAGCACTGTCAGGATATGTTAAAATCAATTTGGGGTTTAAAAAAGCCTGGTTCTGTAACAGTGCTTTCATAGCCTGGTGATCAGTGCTATCCAAAATGGAAAAACTGAAATGTGGCTGCAGTGTAGGACCATGAACAGGCATTTTGTGCTTTTTTTTTTTTTTTTTTTGTGGATCTGCAAATATGCTTATTTCTAGAGAGAAAATGGGATCAAAAGAATGTCTGCTGTGGTAATTTTTTCGTGACTACATCCAGAATTGCCTTTAGCTCCACATTTCCTGGGTTTTGTGCTTGCAGAGAAGAGCAAAAATGTTCCAATGATAACACAGGAATAGCAAAATTATTGGCTGGCTTCTTGATTTCTCCCATTTGTGAAGATTCATCAGCATTTTCCTGCCCTGGTGATGGATGCAGCTGGGCACAAGGTGCATCAGCTGGCAGAAGGGATTTATTGCATTGATTTGCCAAGAACCAGCTCTCAGAATTCATCTGCAAGAAGAAATACCCAGAGCTGCTAAAAGGAAGGGCTTGATTTCAAGGAGGAGACAGACTGTGGATTGCCAGCTTCTCTGAATAGAAAATCTGTAGCACTGACCTTCATTTCCCTGATCAGATGCAGTGTTGGTCAAATATTTCTGAAAAGCTGGGCTGTCCCTCATGCCTCCAGCAAAAGAAAGTGATGAGAGTAAATTCCATCAGCCCAGGGAGAGCCAGCACCCAGCTGGCACCAGCTCAGTCTTGGTCAGGCAGAGCAGAGACCTGAAGTGCAAAGAAAGAAGCAGCAGAGAGTTTAAGTGCAAATTGTGTGGGTTTGGTGCTAAGATTGCTCAAGGTGGCTGAGCCCAAGTCCAGCAGTGTGGGTGGGTGAGTGGCTTCTTGCCTGGGCCACGATGAACCACAGAAAATTCCCAAGAGTGACTTGGGAAATCACATCAGCTGGCAAAGAGCCAGCAACAGCAAGAGAACAGCCACAGCCTTTGTACAGAACAGTGCCAGTAGAAAAGAAGTGTCTCCCTTATTTCCAGAACACTGTGATTGGTCAACGATGAAGTAGATGTATTATTGGGCATTCTGCTCTATCAGAAAACCAGTTTTCTCTGTGATTTTTATTCCCAGGCTTGCTTCCTACTGGTCACCATTTCAGCATGAACAGCTTTTCTGGAGCAACACTCAAACAGAAATGTCCATGTATGAAGCATTCATATTACTTCCATTGGATAGGCATTGTCTTGAGGTCCTGCCTGCTGGTAGAGCAAGCCCTGCACCATTTCTCTGGATGTTTCTTCTGGTTTGACTCCAAATTTCAGATACAACCACACAAGGGCAACACTGCTAACCATCAGTCCACATACCACAGAAACTGGGATGACAAAGTGCATTTGAGATTTTGACAGGAAGCTGGGCAGGGGCAGATTGTTTGGCCTGACTGTGATCATCTGCACCCTGGCTTGGCTTGACAGTGCCTGGTGAGTAAAAACTCCTGTGTCTGAAGGCTCTTGCTTCCCTACGGGCAATGAATGATCAAATGCTGTTGTCCCTGCAGAGGGACCAACAAGCCTGTTGGCATGGACAGAAGCAGCTTTGTCTGTGGCAGTGGTGGAGCTCAGAGTAGACACTGGAGTACTCTGTGGTGCTGTCTCTGTGACTGTTGTGGTCCTCATACTGTCCCAGGTGGAGGGGAGATCTGACCCAGAACTGCTAGCAGCAGTGTCTGGTGTGTTGGCTCTGGCTCCTGTGGGGTCCAGGGGTCCATTGGCAGCCAGTGCAGGTTGGATTGATGCTGTGGCAGCAGCCATCAGGTCTGAATTGGAGTTAGGAGAAGCTGTGTGCTGACCAATGGGGCGTGGGGTGGGCTGCCTGGAGCCCACATCTGCTGTAACAGGAGAATTTGAGGGCTCCCCCTTGGCTCCTGGAGTGACCCCAGGGTGCAGAGCCTCCTCCTGTGTCACTGGGACGGATCCTGCAGGGAGCTGGGGGAGCTCCTGCCTGCCCAGGGGGGGCTTGCTGGACACCTCTGTGGGGGCAGCAGGAGCATGTTCTGTCTCCCTGAGTGTTGTTCCAGTCCCTTGGAAGAAACCAGCTGGAGCAGTGGCTGGAGATGGAGGCAGTTCTGGAAGACCAACGTGTCTCTCAATGCTGCCGGGCTCTTCTGCTGAGGTGACATCACGTGGTGGCATCACTGTGGCATTTTTCCTGCTCAGTTTGTCTTGGAACTTCTTCACCCAGCCTGCATTTGAATCTACACAAATCTTCCTATCCTGTACAGTAACAAATCTGAAAATACAAAGGGATCACTTATTGAATAAAGAAAACACTGGTTCAGGCGATCGGAGCTGTGGGGAAGGTGTGTAGATACAAAGACCAAGTGTTGTTTGGATGATTCATTTTAGGAAAGGCAGGCAGGTGCCTCTGATATCTGACTGAATGAGCAGTTAAACATGACTCATGGGAGAAGGGTTTTCCCCTAATAAGCTTTTCACTTTCAGAAGCATTGTCCTGCTTGGACACAGAAAGCTCCACAGGCACCAGCTGCCCCAGGACACACAAGTATGAAGGAAAAGCTCTCAGGTTTACTTTTACTGGGTGTTGTGAGACTTCCAAGGTCAACCCAGCAGCTTCACTTTGGAGCCACCCCCTGGGCTGCAATAAAATGGTGTCAATGGTGCATGAACTTCAGCATAAACACAAAACAGCAATTATCCCAAAGGAAAGAAATGGAGCTTTTCTCATTTCCAGACAAGCTCACAAGTCTGAATCTGTCTTCAGACAAATATCTGCTTTCAGAGGAACACATGAGCTCTCTCCCCACAGCATTCCTCTGCCCTGTCCTTCCAGGTACATATCCCAGTCCCTTTCCCCACCCATTTAACCCTGATCCCACTTGGAAGTGGGGCAGCACTTACATGATGACATTTAGTTTGCATCTAGAGTCAGTCTCGTAGAACCTCCTGATCAGCCTCTCTGGTATAAATTTCTTTGAAGGATTTCTGCAATCTTCTGGACACGTCACATATGCTTTGGGTTGCCCTGAAATAAAAATTTCAATTCATTAAGTGTTGGCTTTTATCTATAAACCAGCACTGCTAAATGTCTCCCTTTTCCAGGGAAGAGTCCAAAGCCATGAAAGTTTCCAATCCCTGCTGAACTGAGATGAAGACAGATCCTGATGACCACAAAGCCAAATTTGCTTGTAGCCCCCACACATGCAATAAGATACCCAGAAAACTGAGGGGGAAAAAAAGCACTGTGAAATCTGTGGGCTTTTGGGACAGCATTTCAGCTTGTCCTGTAGGATGTGCAAGCCCCTGGACCTGCAGGTCCTTCCCCTTTGGCTACCAGGAGGACTGGTCTCAGCACAATGCCCAGAAAATGCATTTCTTCATTCTCCAAAGACCTGCTGCAAGCCTCACCAGTGGACAGGGTGCTCTGCTCTCTCCTTATCAGTCTTATCTCTGTGGGACCTCCCCTCCAGGTGGGCACCCTGCCTCTCTGCTCCCAGGGCCTCTGAGCATCACCTGGGCTCAGAGAAAGGGTGCAGGGCAAGAACCTTTTGGCAATGATGCTTCAGTCCCACAGGTATCTCAGCAGCCCAGCTTCCCAAACACATCTTTTCGACCTCCAGCAGAAAACACAGTTTTCAGTTTGCAAAGTGTAAAAATAACACCCCCCCTTGACCCCTTCAAGGGGCAGGGCCAGTCACACCACTGCGGCCATTCATCCACCTCCAGCCTCCCACAAAAGACACTTGCACAACACATCCTGACAACTTGTTCCTGACATCCCTGGGGGCAGGATTTACAAAAACAATCCCTGATTTATCTGGAGCCTCTGTGAAGAAAGGAACTGGCATCTGGTTTCAATCAAGCTGTCTCTTACAAAATGTTGCCC